AGTTGCGTGCATTTCAACAGCCTTGAGCGTGGACATTGCCTCGTAGCCTGCTTGCAACGCCTGCGAATTTATTCCGACCTTACTTTTGCTGCTTATTGCCCGTCTTTCGCATGCGTTTGTTTTTTGAATAAATGGTTGCGCATCAATTGTTTTATTCTTTTTTTTTCTGTTATCCTTTTTGATATCTCCTTTGATATATATATTTTTGGATATTTTTTGCTGAATAATTATCTTTTGTCTATCTTTTCGCACTATTCCTTTTTGTTTACTTGCCATTATTTGTATCACTTCGTTTGTTTTTCGACCGTTCTTCAGTATATGTATTTTTTCACCGTTATCTTTTCTGTATAATTTGTTTCTAAACTCATCATAGCTGCTTATTTTAGTTTTATTTGCTCTTTTTTTTACAGCTTTTGTATTCCTTGACATGCTCGCACTAGTGTTGGTCCCTCTTGTCAATAATTTTGTTTGTTTACAATCTTTGCTAATGCAACTTACATTGAACGCTTCGTTTGTCCAGTTTATTTGGCATTTTTTTTCTGAAACATAAGTTGATGTCATTGTGGAAGTGTTTTTCATTTCGAAATATCCGTTGACTCCAATCGGGTCCCAGCATTTATCACAAAATTTGTAAAAATGCTTCACAACATCGCTCTTCCCATCCTCCAGTATCTTAGTGTTTTCCAGGTTATTCGCAATATTGTAGAGCTCAATTGCTTTGGTTTGCATTTGATGTAAAGTTTCCTCAAGTTTTTTATGCGGATTTTTAAAATTCTGGGTTTCTGGTTTATGTCTAAATACCTGACTTTTTCTTTTGTCGCATGAATTGGAGGCGATATGTGGAAAACCATTTTCCAGCTTTTCCTGCAATCCTTTCGCTGTCGGCGTGGATAAAATTTCATTTCTCTCCTTTTTGAACTCTGAAGCCAGATGTTTGAGCTCAGAAGATAATTGCTCGTATTCTTTCCTAAATATAGAAACGCGAAATTTAGAGTCTTCATCCACTTACATCATTGTCTCCATTGCCGAAGTATAGGTGAACGTATTTTGACGAAAATGACAGCTGGCCGAGCTGTAGCACTTCATTTGCTCCTAGAGACAATTCAAAAGATTAATTTTAGATTTTTCATTCTTTTTAAATTCCTAGGATGACATAATCAGAGCTGTGCATTAATGTAATGGTAACGCCCAATTTTGTTGAGATATTTTCGATACTTTAAACTTTGACTGATTAAGACCCATCACTCTCAGGTCATCATTACAGTGCCCAAGTGAAACTCACTTTTAAGTTGTTTAAGACTAGAAAATATCCATCCAAATCCTGAGCCATAAGTATGGAAGTGTTTTCCTGACCTGTTCTTACGACTAAATTAATCATTGTACTGAAATGAGAATAGAGTAGTACATTTCTCCTGATTTCGTAATTTCGCCCTTATAAGGGCAATTTTAGCCCGCAATTGGTTATTCGTTATAGCTCCTTCTTTTTGAGGGAACGACAACTCCAATTCAGCCAGAAGGCGCAATGCCTTATCAGAGTCTTCGATACACAGGTTCTGAAAATAATTTAGTTAGTCATTATAAAGCGGTTACTTTATTTCGTTCCATTTCGTCAAGAAGTGAGGTGAAGTGCAAAACCCCAGTGGCCAGCCACTTGTCAATTTTATCGCTCCAAGAATCAAGAAATTCTTCAGTGATGCTAAAAGACCAAGAAAATCATAAAATGTGACTGTAACGCAACAGATCTGTGACAACTCGCATCATTTACCAGAGAGCACGGTTAAGGCTATCTGGGTCGGCCTTGCCTAGCCCCACATAAACAAAGGGGATCTTTATTGGGTTTGCTTGGGTTGTACTCTGAATAATCCAATAAGATTTCAAGGGAGGAGGTTCATCCTTAGCCGCAGTACTCGCGCTCAGTGTCGACTGGCCTGTTTGCAGCACCTTTACAGGCTGACCTCGCCTGAGGCATATCTTGTTCAATTCGTCCGAAAAATCGCACAGAATAACGCCTTCAAATTCTTCCACAGACTCTGGTGATTGAAACACTCTTTCTAATGGCGAAATCGACTTCGAGATGATACAGAGACGATCCAATTTTGCTAGATTTACCTTGATTTCGCCCAATTTATCCTAAGCAACGTATTTATTAAGCCGATTAAAAAAAGTACGGTTTCTTTAAAGTTTGGTCAGTAATAAGGCGCATCAAAGTTTCCATTATATTTTAATCTCTTTTATGCACATAAGTAGGAAATAATATTGACCTTAGACCACATGAACACATGCTGGGAACAAAGAACTTTGTTATTAAATGCAATGAATACATAGACATAAAATACGTAAATTTTTCAATGGCTTACCTTCAAAAAATGCCCAAAATGTGCAGTTTTAGCTGAAAATATCGCTGAACCAGGATCTCTGTAAACTTTCGTTTTCGCTTCCATTTCAGACCAGAACTGTCTTAATATGTAACCAAGGCGATCACATTTGAAGTTAAACTATAAAAGTTAGCAAATTTATAATTCATTATTGAAATCTAATTCTTTATTGGTATCTAATATCCAAATATCCTGCCGAGGTTAAAAGTAATCACCAATCTCACGTGCGGAGACTCAATAATAATTATTTTAACGACTTTCCGAGCTACCAACATAAGGACAAATTCGGTGAAAGTATAACACCAATCGCTACCAAATGACTCGGATTTTGGAACAAGACTTTAACGACTGACAATTAGCACATGCGATTATGTGTGCATTTCCTACCCGCCCCCGCAAGAAGATTTTCTTAAAGGGATAAAATTTCAGATGTTGTGAAATTGCCCAGAGGGGTCAGTGACGTTGTCCCAGCTACAATCAAATACAATAATTGGTGCAATTGGTAGACACTCGAAAGGGGAGGGGACTATATAACACCTTAGTCATTTATTTAACCTCTCGTTTAGATACAATGAGCATTGAAGACTCCACATAAGAATTTCGCTGCTTCTAAGGAGCTTTTGTACATCTTCGGAAAAAAATTTAATGAGATAAAACATAGTCACTTGTCCACTAAGTCCACGACTTGCTTTTGGGCATGGCCGAAGCTTAATTTTAAAACATCACGTATTTACTTTTGTTCAATAAGTGCGAATTTCCCGGACATTTCATTTGTCACGATCTATTAATTCATTTTATTTTATTGAGGCGACTTGAAAAACTCCGACCTATGCGTGACACATTGAGCCTCCAGACAATCAAGTAAAAGGCTCCATAAAGATAGCTACTAGCTTTACCTTATGATATTCAGCAGCAGAATTCACATGGTGTTGTGCGGCTAGAGCACTCATTTTCAATTTGTTCCAGGCCTTATTTATTTCCGCCTCCGAATTCTGCCAGTAAACCGAGAAAAGGTACAAGGTTTTGATTCTTATAGCGTAGTATCAATGCTAGAGTATGCGAAATATCTCGGTTACCTCGTTTGCGATCATGTACGAGTTTTTGGTCAAGGCAGAGGTGACTGAAAAGTCGGATATTCTTGTCGAAAGGTCCTAAAAACATGCATCAAGGATTGATATTAGCGTTGTTCTAGTTTATTTTACATAGTTACCGGACGACAAACAGCTTGGTTTGGCTTTTACAAAATTGGAAAAGGTTAAGTTGAACTCAGGGCATAATATGTGCCACCTACCGAAAAGAGGTTTTCGAATGTCGAAATTTCCCGAATTGTTTCAAGACACATGCAATTGTTTGCCTATTAATGAAGTATTTGGTAAAAATTATGTCAAATAAGCCTATTAGTACTACTAGTTTGATAAAATATTAGTCAGGAGCCTAAGTACTGTACATTCATTAAGCAAATTATTAGTCCTTTTATGGGTTTCCAAATATAGTAAACCTATGCGGAAAATCACTTATAGCTTACGTTAATCATTAACTTCTTCCAGTTTTGCAGTCAAATAGGACGTATCTGTAGTTATTATTCTTTTTGATCTGGGTAAATGATAGATGGTTGAACCTAATTCAGTATCGCTGGCAGGCATACAATGCATGAATTGTATAGAATTGATGAACTATCTCGTGATTTGGCACCCAACAGCCAATAGTTCATGCTACTTCTGTTAGATTAATGAAAGGTATAGCGACAATTCGAAAAACTCCAAACTTCAGAGGATCGAAAAAGACCTACCTCGAAGCTAAAGAAAGGATTAAGAGTCATCTCTCAGCAGGCTTTTACTTTGCAACTGAAAAGGCGATGCTCCTTCCTGACTATTCGTATACAGGTAGCCCGAACTGCGGGCAGGTAATGTGAATGTGAAGGTGTGACCTAAGCTTTACCCGTGTTTTCCAGTTCACTCAACACAGAGTACAACATAAGGGACAAACTAACGAAGAAAGCAATGGTTTCTAGAATGAGGTCATCTTCTCTTTCATACATTCTGATGTGATTTCCATTGCAAACTTTCTCCGGCAATAACTTATAAATTAAGCAACGAATTCGATTCGAGAACTGGCTTAATGAGCAACCTTGAAGTCTTAAACCATACTACGACTTAAGATAATGCGATCGAGATGTGGTCTTAGCCTTCTTGGCTGCTTGGGCATACCATTGTGATAATAATGCTAGTAGGGCGAAATTGTGGCTTACTCATACCTAGTGCTGATCTCACGACGTGCAAGTTCAGGGCCATCCTGCTTTTAGGCTTAAGTTGCATTCCCACGTAGAGACATGTCAGGATACCAGGATTAAACATTCGCATTAAACTGTGCTCCAGTAGCACAACAAAAGCTTCTAATTCACTTAGCCACTATCACACATCCAGGTTCACGTCTTCCCATATCAATGCGTAATAATGGAGGGCTAGGTTCATTTAGTAAACTTTAATCTAAATGAAAAATACCACGAATGACGCTGCCGATTGAAAAGCATAAAGAAATGAAACTCAGATCGTGTACTACGTGCGGACCCAGCACCTACAAATGTCTCGACCCCTACGGTATTGCCGTTAACATCGGGAATGTCGATGGCCAAACCCATTGACTATGAAGAAAAGTAAAGTGCGTTGATGTTTGTAAGGAAGGTATAGAAGGTGTTGGAAAGTACCAACACTCCCCCGAGTAGACAGAATACACGTTAATACTTGAGTAGGTGGCGCTGAACTGAACGTAATGCAGTGGGGAAAAATAAGCACTAGACCAAATTCCGTAAAGCTGATTTAAACACTATTTCTTACTAAATGACTCTGCTTTCGGCCAGAAATCGTACGAATAGCTATAGACATAGGTGATGATCCTTACACTCCAATCCCAAAAACACAACCCAAGAAATCGAAACACTAGATCCTACATGAATGTCAAGCATCACCCAGAATGCATGCAAATTCAATTAGTAAAGATATTTTTGCACAAATGACGCTAAAGATTAATCTGGAGAGAAATCGGAACAGCTAATAAAACAGTGGACTGCGACAAAGCGTTCGTAATTTTTTGGCAATTCGTTTTAATGTCCGAACTAATGGATTCTCTTCTGTATCACTGCTGAGCGAAATAGATTATGAACCATTTCAAAGACCGTCTTCCCATGCGTACTGATATAATTTTACCTTCACCGACAGTACCACTTCTTTCAAGTTTGAGGACTCTCAGGATGAGTTTTAAGTCACCCAAGGTTCCCAAATGAAATTATGAACATACTTGATACCCAGAGTTTCTTCGACGTCGATTTGCGGAAAAGTACTGCATACCATAAATGGGTCATTTATGTGACTAAATACTTCACCTAGATTACGACCAACCACTTTGTTAAAAATCTTCATGAAATGCCTTTGTTCTAAAGGCAAAGAAATTTCCTACTTTTATCTTGGCGATAAAAAATGCCATATAAATTAAAATTAATAATGCACAAGTACGTCCAAAGCGCATGACTTCAGAACATCTTGAAGAACTATCATGAACGTCAGAATCAGAGGGGGCGAGGGCCTAACAGAATTTCCAGAATTTGCAGGCTAGCTGCTTTGCTTTACTGATCATATTTTTTGCGATTCTGTAAGTGTTTCGGTTGGCAAAATTATCCTGACGACTATTATAGA